GACTGCCATGTCACCTTCAATGACAAGACTAACAGTTTAAGGGCATTTGTGGTCCAAAATATAGACGCCAGAGATATTTTTAGTATCAAAAACAAACGGAAGGCATTTTTGAGCTATTTCAAATAGTTGAAGGACAATTTTGGCCCTTTTCCGTTATTATTATTACTATTGTGGTTTTCCCTTGTATCTGTTTTAAATATTTTGGGTTCTAATGACATTTAATATTATAGTTTTTATATGTCACATTCATTTTTCAAATAGTAGAATGGGATTTTGAGAGGGGTTTTAGGCTTCTTTTAGATATATTATTAGTTGTGTAGGTTCCATTAGAAAAGAAAAACAATTAGAATTGTTTAAGATATTGACAGCCTTGTCCAGCACATGCTCTTGTTTCAAGGAGAAGTACTTGTGGCTTAAATTATTATGGGAAAGCTAATAATTTATGTTGTAGAATTGACAAGTATTTGATTACGTATATTCATGAATTGATGATTGGTGCATCCTTGTAATCTTTAACAGCCTATAGTTAGATTTGAAGCAAACAACATGTTCTTTTGCTTCATCTTGGAATTTCCTTTCTTCAAGATGACTATCCTTAGCTGAAAATTGACTACATGTTAATATGTAATGAGCACATATTAGGTTGGCATGAAAAACTAGCTATCTTTAAGTATAATTTTCATTAAGTAAATGGAGATATTGTTATGTATTGGCAAGAAAGTTTTTGTTCTGTAAAAATGGTTCAGAAAAGTGTACGGAGAAACAGAGTGGAAGCTTAGCAGAGAACGATATAATTTGCATTTTAAATTTACACCTGAGCAGTTTTAGCCTTTTATGTTTATAAAAATGAGCACTTTTAGTCTCCTTTATTTTTTAAACACATGAAGGTAGTTATCATTGACGGAATTGGTTCGTGAGAAGCATGTGAGCCATTTAATAGACTTTTCACGATTTATTTCTCATGATTGGTAAGGGTTTCGATAGCAAATGGTTATATTGAGAGGTCGAAGGAGACATAAACGTTATTCGTTCGTTGTGTTTCATTTTGTGGAGAGTAGAAGGAAGCGGATGATGGGTTCAATTCGCTTGATTATGGTTTTTTTAAGGTACCAATTGGGGAAATGAATTAGGAGAAGTCCGTTCGATTGTTTCTTCAATCTAAACGGCTTAGGTGCTTCCCACGAGCCAATTCCCTTTGGAGATATATCGAGGACTTCTGGACTTGCATCCTTCAACATAGAAGTCTCCTTTTTCGCCTAACAAGCTGTCGTTTCATTATTGCAGCAATAATAATTAGTATGTTTTAATCCCAAACTAGTTGAGGTCGGCAATATGAATCTTCTATTTCTATTCGACTTCATGAGACACTACTTGCGTGTAACTTCTTTTGTATTCCAGAACTTTTGATCATATCCTTGTTTTGAGCTTTTATATGGTGAAGAACAAGATGTTCATATTGTTGTCTTAGTCAAGAAGTGTCAGGCTCTTCTAATTGATGGTTGTGTTATTTTCTGCAGTACAAGAGTCTTTGGCGTTTCGACAGACTGCATGCAGCTTTCATTTGACTCCCGAGGAAATAGCGTCCCTACAATCCTTCTGATGATGCAAAGGCGCTTGTATGCTCAACGTGGCTTGCAGGTTTGTGGAAAACCAACTCCTTAATCTCCGTCATGTTGATCAATTAAATATTTGACTAGGCATAAATCCCGTATGTGTGTTGTCCTAAAGGTTTCATAAGTTATACTTCTTTAGTCCCAATTTATATCACAGTGTTTGACTAGGCACAAAGTTTAAGAAATAAAGAAAGACTTCTGAAACTTTTAGTCTAAAACGAACTATAGATATTTGTTTGGCTATATATCATCTCGTTAAGAGTGAAAAGAAAAAATTGAAGTTGAATTGTTACAAAATATAGAAAGATGTCGTTCTTTTTGGGACTGACTAAAAAGAAAGCGTGTCATATAAATTGGGGCAGAGGGAGTATAACTTTTCAATGATGAAATTTGGCTGTCAACTTGCAGGCTGAAGGGATATTCAGGATCAATGCTGAAAATGGCCAAGAAGAATTTGTCAGGGAGCAACTAAATAGGGGTATAATTCCAGATAACATTGATGTCCATTGCTTAGCAGGTCTTATTAAGGTAATATTCTGCATCTTGCTCTGAGAATATATTCGTCGACGTTGTCTGCAATTCTTGAGAGAGGAAATTATTAAAGTGTTCTATGGTAATTGACATAAAATGATGATGCTTCCAATAGGCTTGGTTCAGAGAGTTGCCGAGGGGAGTTCTGGACCCTCTCTCACCGGAGGAGATTATGCGCGCACAATCAGAAGAAGAGTGTGTTCGGCTTGTGAGACTTCTTCCACCAACTGAAGCTGCTCTATTAGATTGGGCTATTAACTTGATGGCTGATGTTGCTCAACTGGAAAGTTTTAACAAAATGAACGCACGTAATATAGCTATGGTGTTCGCTCCAAATATGACACAGGTAGTTCAAAACTTTCATCCAGTTTAAAAGAAACACGATCAAAATCATATCGTTGCTCCTATTGTGTTTCTTAGATTAATCTTTTCTGCCTGCAGATGGCGGATCCCTTGACTGCTTTGATGTATGCGGTTCAAGTTATGAACTTTCTCAAGACTCTAATACTTCGTACCTTGAAAGACCGAGAAGAATCTGTTATAGAAGCTGGTCCTGCACCAGAACTGGAGCCATTCGATGAAAACGGGCATCATAGTTCGTTCCAAACAATCGGTCAGAAATCTAATGAAATTGTGGAGGAGGAGGAGGAAGAGGATATCGTTATATCCAAAGGGCGACCCACAACTGGCACTGCTAACTCTACCTTGGGAAAGATTAAAGTTGAGAATGAATCCCATGCGCTTGGTGATTGTCTCAGTGAAATCTCAAACCTGTCTGACAGCAAAAAGGATGAGGTTGGAGTTGGTAATGTCAATTTAGCAAGTGGAAGAATTCAACCAAAAATCCGGAGGACTAAAAGTGTTCATTCAAGTAGTTCTAGTGTGAGAGGATCGAAGAAAGTTAACGAATGGCCTATAGTTCATGTAGCTGCGAATGTAGAGAAAGGGAAGGGAGTCAGAATCATCGATAGGTTGAATTCACAAACAGAAAGGGTGGAAGCCTGGCGATGAATGACTCGCCACAACGGGCATTGCTTCCTCATCAAGAAGTCAAATGGTTGTGATTTATATTTGAAAAAAAATACTATGTATTATCCAGTTTCTGTTGTAATGGGGTCATTTTACAGTCTGTGCTTGCATATTGGTTACTTCCTTAGTACAGTTCAAACAGGAATTCTGTCATCTTTCCCTATGGGCATGTTTGGCTGGGGAAACTAGCAGGATGAATGTTAATTTATGTGTTTTCTACTAAACTGAATACTGCTGTGGTTTTCAACTTTTGAATGTGATCTTCCTTTTGACATAAAGAAGTGACCATTCTATAGGGGAAAATTGCTTATGTGATTGCAATAGTGATGGCAGAGGCGGATCTACGATTTGAACTTTATGGGTTCGAGCTGGGAATTCTACTATAATTTATTTGATTTACTGGGTTCAAAATTAATTATTTATACTTTGTTAGTGAATTTTCTTAACACATATTATATCCGCGTCAAAATTCAACTCATACCACGCATACTTTAGATACCTATTAACTCTACATCCACCATTGCAAGTGGATATGGATGGTCCGAATGCACTACTCATTTCTAGTTTGATTTTGCAATTCAGTTGAAGTTAATTATAAAGTATAAAATTCATCCTTGTTGCTCAAGCGGTGAAGTTTTTTGCAATTTTTCTTTTTGGAAAATGTAACTTTTTCCAATATGTTTAAAAAAGAATATTTAAAAAAACAAAGTTTGAAAAACTAAAAGAGAAAATTTGCAAGGAAAAAAGAAGAAAAAGAAAAATTCAACCAACTTTCCAACCAAAACGCCAATAACAATTCTTCATGGGAGTAAGGTATCACATCTTATACACTTTAGGGGCTGAAATACAATTCATTTTAAAAAATATAATATTTATCCTCCGGTTCACCTTATTGAAGAAAAACCGGATTTTCTTCTAATCCTTCAAACTCGTGAAACTTTTTGATTCATTGAATTGGTAATTTGGTATGCATATGGGTTTTAATTTTTAGCTCTTTTGAAATTACTACATCAGTATATCTGTAGATGTTCATCTAAAAGAGACTCAATTTTTGCACTTTTTTCTTTGCAGAAAATTTAAATGCTTAGTGGCTTTTCAAGAATGAGGATCCAATGTTGTATTCGTGGGAAAATTTTCAGTTCTTTACCCCCTTTTAACTCCTATTGCACCCCCATCTCCAAAGTAAGGTTCAATTCTTTATTTTCTCTACAGTTTTTGGTTTGAGATAATGATTGTTAAATTGGTCACGGTGTTGACTTTGACAACGTAACACTAGAATCATTGTAGTGGTGAGCTCATGCTTCAGAGTATCAATTCAGCAAGTCTTCTTTGGAAAGGGCAGTTCAGCAACTTTCTGCTAGCATAGTTTCTGGCGGGCATTGGCTATTTTAACAGACAAATCAAAACCATGTGTTGGACTGAGTTAGTTTATTGGATCCAATAATTTATGCTGGAAAAACAGATTGTAAAAGTGCAAGAATTCTCATTATTCACCATTCTTGTTTGTAAAATGGCCAGTTCAGTTTTCTTTTGTGGATAGCAGTCTTCTGTAATATCATATGCTGGGAGTTGCACTACTATTCTTTCAGTGAGGCACTAGAATTGCACAAAAGAGAACAGAACAAGAACATAAATCAAAGATTCTCTAGTCATATTACATTAGAGAGAAATTAGAAGACTCTTCAAACTCATGGCACCAATTGCAACTTGCAAGTCTTGTTTCATTTCAAGGTCAACTTGAAATGTGCACTGGTCGAACGACCACGATCCGTCAGTCTCCACTAGACTTAGCTTTCCAGTAAAACACATGAATTTCATGATCAATGAACACTTTGTAGAATGATGTAACTAATACAGTTCTGTTGTCAATGCTCATCCGAGACACTCCTTTTCAATAGGAGGTGAAATAGGGACTAGGAAGGAGAGATCTTGAATGTGACTAAGCATTAAGTTCCAAAGGCGACTAAGTTGATTTAGCTGTAATGATATTACACCTTTTAGAATTCTGAATTTAACCAAATTCCTGTCCCTCCTTGAAAGGTAGACAATCATAGTAAAAGTCAACATGCTTGCCCCTGATGTCAAACTTGTGCTCAAGGAAGCAAGAGA